CGCAGAAGGGGCGGGACTGGAGATGGGGCGGGGCCTAGCAGAAGGGGCGGGACTGGAGATGGGGCTTGCTTCCCCCAACCCTGCCTTCACCGACTGCCCGTGGGCAATAAAGGAATTAACCAAGTAAAGAAAGGGAAATACATGGTGTCATTGGGGGGGGGGAGGGGGAATCACCTGGCCCGGCACCCTCTTCCGCAGCCAGATGTCACCCTCAGCCAGTGGGGAAACCGGAGGCTTCTTAGTTCACAGGGATACAGACTGGTTAGCACAGGAACCAGAAGCCGTCAGTACCATCCATCTTAGGGAAAGGGGGGCCCAGAGCCAAGGCCCTGGGCCCCCTCCCTGTATCCTAAGCCAGCAGAAACTCACACACTCAGCAAGTGGTCCCATCCTCATCCAGGCACCGGTGCAGTGCCTAGGGAAACTGAGGCACACCCAGAGTTACTCCAGAACAGTACAGGACAGTAGAAATCACATGCAGTATAAGAACGCGAACCGAGCAAATACAACCGCCCACCTGGTCATGGATGGTATGTACGTAGCTGGCTCAGCTAGGCCTATGAGAAATATGAGCGGGAAATGGATAGGTGCATGCAGAGAGAAACAGAGGGCAAACTTTTGTCTGTTGCCTTCATTGAAGCCTGCGCGAGAGCTTGAACCTGTAGCACAACACACATGCTGCCCTAGCTTCTTTTCATCAAAGGCTTGTTACGCTTAGGTGTCCTAAAGCCCATATGAGATATGTGGAAAACAAAGGTTCATCTAGACTAGAGTGATATGGCCTGGTCACAGGACTGGAAGTCAGACATTCTCCTGGGTTTTCTCCTCCCTCTGCTACTGACTCACTGTATATCACTGGTCAAGTCACTTGATCTTTCTGTATCTGTTTTCTCATCTGAACAATAGATTGTAAAACAGATCTAAAAGAGAACTAGATACATTCATGGAGGTTAGGTCCATAAATAGCTATTAGCCAGTCTGGGTAAGGAATGGTGTCCCTAGCCTCTGTTTGTCAGGGGGTGGAGATGGATGGCAGGAGAGAGATCGCTTGATCATTACCTGTTGGGTTCGCTCCCTCTGGTGCACCTGGCATTGGCCACTGTTGGCAGATAGGACTCTGGGCTGGATGGACCTTTGGTCTGACCCAGTCTGGCCATTCTTATGATAACACCTTTTACTGGCCCGACCGCTGTCCAGGAGAGAGACACACTTTTGAGCTTGCACAGAGTCCTTCCTCGGGCCTTCGTCTTCCTCAGAAGGGCTTTGTGTGAGCCCCAGTGCGTCTCTCTCGCTGTCGGACGTTGCTCCAATAAAAGCTATGACCACGGGCATCCCGTATCCTAGGCGGGGGAAGGCTTTGCCTTCCCAAACCCCCAGGCCTGGTCCCACCCCCAGAACACCCAAAGGAGGTGTTCTGGGGGAGGAGTGTTGCTGCCCCCAGCGCCTGCCCTCCCTGTGCTCTGGGCTGGGAAGATTGGAGCCGTTTGGCCTCCTCCCTCCCCGGTTTTCCGGGGCTGAGGAGGCTCAGGCCGTGCGGCCTCCTCCCTCTCCGGGGCACGCTTGCCCCCCCCCGTGGTGAGGGGCGGGGCCTTAGCAGAGGGGGCAGGAGGTGTTCTGGGGGAGGAGTGTTGCTGCCCCCAGCGCCTGCCCTCCCTGTGCTCTGGGCTGGGAAGATTGGAGCCGTTTGGCCTCCTCCCTCCCCGGTTTTCCGGGGCTGAGGAGGCTCAGGCCGTGCGGCCTCCTCCCTCTCCGGGGCACGCTTGCCCCCCCCCGTGGTGAGGGGCGGGGCCTTAGCAGAGGGGGCGGGGCTGTAGGTGGGGCTGAGGGCTTGCCTCCCTCCACCATAGCTGCACTGACTGCCCAGGGCTACGACCCCACCCAGCTTATACCCTGGGACCAACGCAGCTAGGACCACGCCGCGTAGGTGCCCGCAGAGACAGAGCTCCTGGGGAGCCGAGGCCTAACTCCTTCCTCTTCTCCTCCAGGTGAAGGTGTGGTTTCAAAACCGCCGGATGAAGTGGAAGCGTGTGAAGGGCGGGCAGCCAGTGTCCCCCCCCCAGCAGGACAGCTCGGAATAGCTCCTCGCCCGTAGTAACGCGCGGGCGGTCGAAGGCAGGAAGGGTTGTTCTGTCGGAGAACTGACGCCTCCCAGAGCCGCCGCCACTGCACCATGAGCGCCCGGCTCAAATCATCTCATTCTCCTGTGACTCTGGAAGCAGGGGGCCTTAAGATGCCTTGGGGACTATAAAGGGCCCCCAGGAAAATCCAGAGCAGGGTCTCCCTGGACTGAACTCTCGCCAGTATTTCTTCCAAACAGTAACTAAATCCACTGACTCGGAGACAGCAATACAGCTTGCTGGAGCCATAAAGAACCCATAGTGGTCTTTGAGTCCTCAGAAGATGTAGCTTAGAGGCACCAGGTTCCGGTTCCGTGGGCAGTAATGCCCCCAACCTGTGACCATGTCCAGCATCTCTCCTTCGGCCCCTGCCGCTTGTCAAACCAGAAAGGACTCGAGCATGCCAAAGATGGGTTTTCTCCATGCATCACACTAAGCGTAATGCCTGCTCTGGCATCCGCGGACGTTTCTTGTGTAGGCACGTCAAACAAATTGTAGCCCCAAATTCTAGATAGGCCTTTGGCCACCAGTTTTGGACACAAGGACAAAGAGCTCTGCCGCGAGGGCTCCGAGAGGACAGACACCTCTCGGATACGCCCGTGGGAATGAGAGATGGCGGGTTTGTGGAATTAATCTTAGGGAAGCAACATGGAATCGCACAGGGAATATTTTCCTGCCCACCGCTACCATGTATCAAACCAAGTGTAAGGCGGCTAGGGATTGCGTCTTGTTCTGCTCTGGTCACTGATCTATAGCTGGTTATTTCTTTCTGAAAGAGCGCTTCTCCTTTCTGATGTGTTTCTCGCGATTGTTTCTGGAATGCCTCTCAGTGTTACCTGCTCTTCCCTCTGTTACAACTCAGACTGGCCGAGCTGAAACCAATGTCCTGTGAAATGATGCGCTGAATCGATCAGTCTTAACTTCTTGTTTCTTTTTCTCCCGGGATCCAAATTGTCTTCCAGTCGGTCTGCAAGAATGTATATGTGAATTATGTATGACTATATGTGTCCGTAATGTTCTATGGATAAAAACATACTATGCCTGCACCACGAATCAGTACTCAGGCTAATCAAATTAGTAATTAAATATCTAACCAATTTAGCCCTTTTTTTCTGTTTCCAAGCTTTCCATAGATGGGCTGGTTTTTGTGAACACATTCACTGTTTGCAATTGTTTGAACAGTCTGTGCAAATAAATTTTAGCCTGTGGACTGCTTGCAAATGGTTCGCTTTCACTGGTGGTGCAAAGTCTCAGAGGGGTGGCCGTGTTAGTCTGTCTCGGCAAACACAACCAGGAATCCTGTGGCACCTTAAAGATAAACAGATGCCCTAATAAACCTTATCATAGAATCATAGAATCATAGAACTGGAAGAGACCTCAGAAGGTCATCAAGTCCAGCCCCCTGCTCTAGGCAGGACCAATCCCAACTAAATCAACCCGGCCAGGGCTTTGTCAAGCCGAGACTTAAACACCTCAAACCTTATGCCCTAATAAATTTGTTCGTCTCTAAGGTGCCACAGGACTTCTCATTGTTTTTACTGTTGGCCCTAGTTTGCTCTAGGGTTTTATTTTGAAATAACCCCCCTTAGGTCAAATTAATAAGCAGCACGTCTACACTACCAAGCCCATTATTTTGAAATAGCGGTCGTGTGGACGCTCAGGGAGCTGCTATCTCGAAATAACCACTCCCTAGAGTAATTCAAACTAATTACCCCCCAGTGTTTTTTGGGGTTCTGAGTCCGAGGTAGCACGTGTCCATGAACGGAGCCTGCCTCGGACTAATTTTGTGGCTTCCCCATAGTGTGAACAATTCCGCTGTGTAGGAAAGATAGAAAATATGGCAAAAGACCAGCTTGGCTTAACAAGGAGATCTTGCATGATCTCAAAATAAAAAAGGAGTCATATAAAAAATGGAAACTAGGACAACTAACAAAGGATGAATATAGGCAAGCAACACGGGAATGCAGGGGCAAGATTAGAAAGGCAAAGGCACAAAATGAGATCAAACTAGCTACAGGCATAAAGGGAAACAAGAAGACCTTTTATAAATACATTAAAAGCAAGAGGAAGACCAAGGACAGGGTAGGCCCACTGCTTAGTGAGGAGGGAGAAGCAGTAACAGGGAACTTGGAAATGGCGGAGATGCTCAATGACTTCTTTGTTTCGGTCTTCACCGAGAAGTCTGGAAGTGTGCCTAACGTAGTGAATACAAGCAGAGAGAGGGAAAGTTTAGAAGATAGGATACACAAAGAACAAGTTAAAAATCACTTAGGAAAGTTAGATGTCAGCAAGTCACCAGGTCCTGATGAAATGCATCCCAGGATACTCAAGGAGCTGATAGAGGAGGTATCTGAGCCTTTAGCTATGATCTTTGAAAAATCATGGCAGACAGGGGAGATTCCAGAAGACTGGAAAAGGGCAAATATTGTGCCCATCTATAAAAAGGGGAATAAGAACAACCCAGGAAACTACAGACCGGTCAGTTTAACGTCTGTCCCAGGGAAGATAATGGAGCAGGTAATTAAGGAAATCGTATGCAAACACTTGGAAGGTAATAAAGTGATAGGGAATAGCCAGTATGGGTTTGTGAAGAACAAGTCATGCCAAACTAATCTGATAGCTTTCTTTGATACGATAACGAGCCTTGTGGATAAGGGAGAAGCGGTGGATGTCATATACCTAGACTTTAGTAAGGCATTTGATACGGTCTCGCATAATATTCTTATTGATAAACTAGGCAAATATAACTTAGATAGGGCCACGATAAGGTGGGTGCATAATTGGCTGGATAACCGTAGTCAGAGAGTTGTTGTTAACGGTTCTAAATCCTGCTGGAAAGGGATAACAAGTGGAGTTCCTCAAGGGTCTGTTTTGGGACCCGTACTGTTCAATATCTTCATCAATGATGTAGATATTGGGATAGAGAGAACGCTCATTAAGTTTGCGGATGATACCAAACTGGGTGGGGTTGCGACTTCTTTGGAGGATAGGGACATAATTCAAAATGACCTTAGCAAGTTAGAGAAATGGTCAGAGGTAAACAGGATGAGGTTTAATAAAGAGAAATGCAAAGTGCTCCACTTAGGAAGGAACAATCAGTTCCATACTTACAAGATGGGAAGCGACTGTCTAGGAAGGAGCATGGCGGAAAGGGATCTAGGGGTCATAGTGGACCACAAGTTGAATATGAATCAACAGTGTGATGCTGTTGCAAAAAAAGCAAATATGATTCTAGGTTGTATCAACAGGTGTGTTGTAAGCAAAACTCGCGAAGTCATTCTGCCGCTCTACTCTGCACTAGTTAGGCCTCAGCTGGAGTCCTGTGTCCAGTTCTGGGCGCCACATTTCAAGAAAGATGTGGAGAAATTGGAAAGGGTACAGAGAAGAGCGACAAGAATGATTAAAGGTTTAGAGAACATGACCTATGAAGCCAGGCTTCATGAACTGGGCTTGTTTAGTTTGGAAAAAAGAAGATTAAGGGGGGACATGATAGCGGGTTTCAAATATCTAAAAGGGTGTCACAAGGAGGAAGGAGAAAATTTGTTCCTCTTGGTTTCTGAGGACAAGACAAGGAGTAATGGGCTTAAAGTGCAGCAGGGGAGGTTTAGATTGGACATTAGGAAAAAATGCCTAACTGTCAGGGTGGTCAAATATTGGAATAAATTGCCAAGGGAGGTGGTGGAATCTCCCTCTCTGGAGATATTTAAGAACAGGTTAGATAGACATCTGTCAGGGATGGTGGAGACGGAGCTTGGTCCTGCCTTGAGGGCGGGGGGCTGGACTCGATGACCTCTTGAGGTCCCTTCCAGTCCTATTATTCTATGATTCTATTTCAGTTGTGTTATTTTGGGAGTTATTAAGTCGGTTTTAGTTATTTCAAAATAGTTTTCTAGTGTAGACATGCCATTGGTGCTGTGTGCTTGGTTGCCTTGGTGGGATGGTATTGTGTCTGCTTCCTTCCTAGATGACAGAACTTTTTTAAAACAAGGGAGCCTAGCAAAGCACAAAAGAAGAAAAGGAAACATGGAATCACTAATGCTCTTGTTTGGGCATATCCACTTCAGCATGTGAATCCAGGTGCTAGCAGGAAGAACAGCCATGCAAGCAAAACACTGTTCTCACAAATGTTCACCAACAGTGAATAAAGAGGTGTGCAAAGACAGTCAAGCTGACCACCTGCATGGAACTCAAATGAAACTCCAGGAACGTTGTTTTGCAGTATTCAGCCAGGTCTATTACCCAACCCACAACACCATACAACAGTGGTGGGAAGCTTGTGGCATAAAGGCTGCATGCAGCCTATCAGGTCCTATGTGTGCCCCGCGAGACATTCACTTCACCACTGCCCATGCTCGAGGTTGCCAGATTCTGCTGGGTTCTGTCTGTGTGGGGTTTTTGTTTTGTTTTCACGATTACCTACGTGCCACGCGTGTTAAGTGAGAGCACGCAAAGTGAGGTGTGTGCCGATTGCACACTGCATTGGCTGTGAGCCGGGTGCTCCCTCTGCCTCCAATCACAGCACTGCTACGGTTCAATTCCTCCCCTCCCCCACCCCCGCAAATTCTAGGCAGTGAGCAAAGCTACATTATTGCCATGGTAATGCCCATCTTGCGGCCCACTGAGACAAAGGAGGGCCACTCCCACGGCCCACCCACTAGCCTCGGTTGCCCATCAGTGCCAGTCGTGAAAGGAAATTGAGACAAGCCCAGCTTCTCTTTAGGCATCACAAGAAGCAGCTACGTTTTGCAGAGAGCTCAGCCTGGCGGGTACACATTGGCTGCTAAACGCCATTACCAATCTGAGCACTCAGTTAGACACTGAAAATGAGCAAGAAACAGGCCCCTTTTGTGACCACTGCTGATCTCAGACGGAGCCCTAGGAACCCAGCTGATCTCACGGGATGTGTCTGAGGACAGGATCCAGCCAAAACCGTCTAGAAACCAGACGGCAATTTGACATCC